AGCTCTCTTGACAGCCTTTTTCTGGTTTCTTCATTCTCAGACCGGAATCCCCTACTCCACTTTAACAATGCTATTCTGGTTTCTTTGATTTTTTCCTTCACTTGATACATATGAGTCCCATCTTGATATTTGTTCCAAGCTTCCTTTACAACATCTTTAACTCCCTGCATCTTCAGCCAACGTTTATCAAAGAAAAACCTTTTCTTTTTAACTTCCTTCATCCCTGGATTGGTAGATAGTAAAAGCATGTGGTGACCAGAAGCTGATTTGAACAAATTCTGTACCACAGCAGAATTGTTCAAGGCACACCTATCAAAGGACCCAAAGATCCTATCTATTTTTTCCTCGATAAAGCCCTCTCCTTCCCTATTATTCCCCCAGGTAAAACCATGCCCCTACATATGAATTTCAAGAACACCTGCCCTGGATAAAAACTCTGAAAATCCCCTCATCTCATTCACAGTCTTGCTTCTGCCCCCTTTCTTCTCTGAGCCATCTAGAATCTCATTCCAATCACCCCATAACCCAATGTCTACCCAACTCACACTTCTCTGAATAATAAACTCTCATTGCTCCTCCCTAGTATGTCTAAAGCTGCTAGCATGAACAAAGATCACCCACAAGCTACCCCCCTCACCCTCTCTCTCTAACTCTACCTCAATGCAGAAAGAGTGCTTGATAACTTGAATAACTTTGGTCCCCCTACCCCAGAGAACCAATAAGCCCCCACTCAACCCAACAGGATCTTCTAGCTCCCATCTCTCCTCAAATCCAATTTTCTTGCACACAGTACTAGTAAACAACCTGGTTTTTTTAGTTTCAGAAAGGAAAACCAGGCTGGGGAGGTGTAACCTAGTTACTTCTTTCAGCTGGGACACTGTAGAGGGCCCTCCCAGACCTCTACAGTTCCACATAATAATCTTCATTTATAACTTTGGGGCCATTCGAGGCTGGCTACCACCACCTTTGAAGAAGAATTTTTCTGCTTCTTGTTGCTACGCCATTGATGAGACTCACTGCCACTTGCTTCAACACCCTCCATGCTGTCTACTAGAGCTCTTTTCCTGGTTTGAGTGTCCTCAGGATTATGAGAGTGATTACTGGATTTCTCCATGGTACTTTTCTGAGGTATTCTTTTCCACCATTTGGCCTTGCTTTTTTGGTTCTCATCATCAGCTAAGGCCTTCCCTTTCCCTGCAACGATCTCATTGTTCTCATGGACAGCTTCCACAGCATCACCACTATTGACAAAGGCTGGACTATCATCCTTGGCAGTCTGGTTAGGCTGCAGGGAAATGTCTTCAATCACTGATAGAGGATTATCAGTATTAGCAGTCAGACTTGGCTGCATTGAGGTGTCATGAATAACCAGGCTAGGGAGTTGTTCTACTTCCTTTTCTTTGCAGAGAGGTAAGATTTCATCAACACTGCTCAACCTTCCATCTGGCTCTTTCTAGATATCCATTTGGGCAGTATGACCAGCTTCTAGTTGACAGAACCCACTAACACTCCCTCTTGAGTCTTCTGTTTCCCTCAATTCCTTCTCATGATGACCAGACTTTGAGGCAGGAGAAAGAGAATCAGAGAATTGGCTATTAGAATAGCTGTTAGAAGAAGCTTTGGGCCCAATTCTTCCATCTAAAGCCTTCATCCAGTCTCCATATTGACCTTCCTTTACTGATCCAATCTCAAAATCAAGAAGTCTTTTATTGCATCCTTTTTCAAAATGCCCAAGTATCCCACAGTAATGGCACATGCTGACTAACCTCTCATACTGTAAGCTAATCCTCACTTGTTGATTGTGAAGCTTCATTAGAACACATCTTGGCAGGGGCTGATTGATATCAATAGTAACAAGGAGTCTCAGAAAGCTTCCCCTAGCACCACCTGCCTTTATAACCGCAACATTCTTAGTTTTAACAAATATTTTCCCAATCTTTACTCCCACATCCGTACAGAGCCAGTTAAGAGGTAAATTGTTGGCTTGAACCCACAGATTCAACTCCGAGAATCCTGGGTGATACTCATTCACCCTTTCTCCCATTCCTTGAGAATTAAGTACTGGTTTTCAAATATCCAGTTGACTCCCTGTAGAACCTTTTTCCTATCCTCATCAAGAACAAATATAAACTGGAAGAAATTGGTGCTAATCTCTCGGACCTCCACGGGGTTATGAATTTGCCAAATGATGTTCACTGTCCGGCGGAGCCCGATGAGGCTTACCTTCGTATCCCCAATTATTTTACCAAATAGACTGTGCTTGCATTCTGCCTCCCCCACCTTTATATCCCCAATTTCGATCGCATTGTTCTCAGAAACTGATAAATCTATGTTGCTGAACTTGTCCCCCAACTCATCTGTTGTTCCCTGCATTGCTCTTGCTCCTGTCACATTCGAATTCATCAAAGAACCTGCACAACAAACAGAAACCAAACAGAACAAAACCTAGACCTAACACTCTCTGCCCAAGAATGAGACACAGAAGGAATAAGAAGAGGAAGAGAAAGAAAAAACCTCTGGACTTAAAATCCAGAGAATGAGGGAAGAGAATAGAAGACCAAGAATGGTGAATTTAGGGTTCCCGCATTAGAGAAATGAGAGCTCTCCTAGAGAGAGAATTATTTGGGTGAGTTGATTACAATTGACTTGGATTAGAGGAATGTTCAGTGGCGAAACATTGTAGCAACTCTACATCTTCAATTTTTTTTTTTTGGTTTTTTTT